GTTTACTGAGAAGACTCACCAGCGTCGCCAGCGGCAACAGTAAGCCCAACCTAGCCCATCTACTTCGGCGCAACTCAGCCCATCTACTTCAGCAGCAGTAGTGGGCCCCAGCCCACCTACTTCGACAGCACCTATCTTATCTTGTTACCTCATTAGATTAGGACTTACTTTGTTATGGACGCGTTTACTGAGAAGACTCACCAGCGACGCCAGCGGCAACAGTAAGCCCAGCCCAGCCCATCTACTTCGGCGCAACTCAGCCCATCTACTTCGGCAGCAGCAGTGGGCCCCAGCCCACCTACTTCGACAGCACCTATCTTATCTTGTTACCTACCTATCTTATCTTGTTACCTCATTAGATTAGGACTTGTTAGATCAGAATAAGGAGTGACTTACTCTTGTTAGATTAGGAGAAGGTCTCCACGTCCAGCTAGGAGTGGGACTATTGTAATCTTCTCCTATTTAAGGAGACCCTAGTGAAGAATAAAGGCATCGAATATTCAGTCTCAAGAAAGTAGGAGAGTTGGTGATCTCTTGAACAAATCACCTCCGCCCAAGAAGAGCAAGATAGGTACCTCACGCAAGGGAAGAGACAAGGGAAAACATGAAGGTTTTCTCGTGGATCACCCCGTGACTAGATCCTACTCACGAGCCCTCAACAATCTGGTATCAGAGCGGACGTGGACGCGTTTACTTGTCAGTGCAGTAGAAGCTTGGTGGGCCCATAACCCACAGGTCCCAAGAGCGAGAACTACTTTTGACATGTATGCTTATTTGAAGAAGGTCCATTACTAATCTAACTTGTCTAGGCAAGACCAAATTGAATATGAAATCTTTGCATATTATTAGGGGGATAGGCAAATACAATAATATTATGCTGGATTTCTAGACTTGTGGGCTGAATATGAGTTGGTACACATTGATCCTTCTAATCTTGTGAATGTACTAAGTATCTTCAGAAGCACTTTAAAAAATGAAAGGTGAATCAGTTTCTCATGAGGTTTAGACATGAATATGAGATAATTAGGTCTAACATTCTAAGCCATGGTACCCTTCCAAATTTGGACTCAATGATGGGGGAACTCCTAAGAGAGGAGACCCAACTTTTGATTGCTACAAGAATCAAAGGAAAACTAATGGACTCTAGGACTGACACTACTTTTTTTGCAATAAAAATCCAGCCATTAAGGACTTCTTAAAAATACAATGTTTTGAGTGCAAAGGATTTGGTCATATTGCTTCTCACTATAAAAAGAAAAATATGTGCACTTACCATAAATAACCTGGTCACATTATTCTTAATTGTCTTATTCAACCAGTTAAGGGTGCTTAAAGGAATATCCAACAACGGGCATATCAAGTTATAAAGGGCAAGGATTTTGATATGACTACTACCAAGAGTGATTTCACCATTAAAAGGTGAATCATTTATATCTATGGATGAAGAAAATATTTGACAATCAATTTCCTCTACTATCTCCTCTGCATTTTCTACCATTGTCTTGTTTGGTAAGTCCTCTACCCATTGTTCTTCACCCTCGCATGTTTTGGATTATTGATTCTGGTGCCACTAACCATATGACCGGTGCTTATCATAATCACCCAAGTCACCTTACTAAAACCCATGATAAACACATAGTTACTACTAATGGTGAAAAGCTAAGTATCATTGGTAATAATGACTTGTCTATAAAACTTTAACCCACTATGTCCTTCCCTCTTTCAAAGGCCTTTCTTGTTCCCAAGCTTCCTACCAATTTAATTTTTGTTGGGTAATTTGTTGAAGGAAATGTTCTCACTTTTTCACATAATGGTTACTTGATCCAAGACTAACACATGGGAAGGTGAAAGGGAAGGGGCATAAGTTGGGTTGTCTATTTGCTTTGGAATTTGACAAATCTACACCAACAACATCCTCAACTTATTTTAGTTCTTCTAAATCTAGTTCTATTTTGAGTCAAATAAACAATGTTTGGGTCATCCTTGTTTTGAAAAATTGAAGTTTTTGTCAATTCTGGTTTAATCATGAATAAGATTTCTCATGGTTATACTTTTGATGCTTCATGTATTGTTTATTGCCTAAGCAAAAGTCATATTTTACCTTTTTTTTCACAAATCTAAGCATTCTACTTCACCTTTTGAGATAATACACATTGATGCTTGGTCTGCTTCTATTGCCTTACGATTAGGGTACAAATATTTTGTATTTTTTATTAATGATTGTATCAGGTGCACATGAATTTATTTCTTATGGTACAAATCAGAAGTTTTTGCAACATTCAAGTTGTTTCATGTTATGGTACGAGTCATTGGATTTATACCATCAAGTTAAAATCTGATGGATCCCTTGATCGATATAAGACTTGCTTAGTTGCCTAGGATTATAATTAGGAGCATGGCATTGATTATAAAGAAACTTTTGCTCAAATCACTAAGATCACTACAGTTTGTGTTCTCTTAGCATTATGTGCTGTCCAATCTTGGAGCATTTACCAGCTAGATGTTAAGAATGCCTCCCTTCATAGTTAGTTAAAGGATATTGTATTTATGAAGCCTCCTCTTGGTTACTATAGTGATCCTTCATTGGTCTGTCACCTAAAGAAATCGCTATATGGTTTGAAACAAGCTCCCTAGGTTTGGTTTGAGCACTTTTGAGATGTTGTAGTTACAGTAGGATATAGGCAGAGCTCTTCTAATCACTCCCTATTTGTTAAACGATGACTTCATGGTATTACCATTCTTTTGTTGTATGTTGATGATATATTGCTAACTGAAAATGATGATGAAGGCACTCATGAATTGAAGTCCTTACTTCATCATTCCTTCCACATGAAGGATCTTAGACCTTTTACCTATTTCTTGGGGGTTAGAAGTTCATCGTAGTGATCGATGACATTTTGTTTGTCAATAGAAATATGCTTTTGATCTTGTTTCTCTTGCTAGCATCACTGATAAGAAATATGTTGATACTCCCTTGGAACTGAACATATTAAGGTGGACTATCATTGATGGCATCAAGATTGCCTCAAATCTTATCTTTTATGGAAGGACTAAACATATTGAGATGGATTATCATTTCATCTGAAATCTTTTCGTTGTTGGCTTTATTTCTCTTCCTCATGTTGCCTCGGATATGTAAATTGCTAATATCTTCACCAAGGCTATGAGTAGAACTTGACATTATATCTTGTGGGCAAACTGATGTTTATGTTTATGCATCAATTTGAAGGGAGTGTGGAGAATGATATACCATAGTCCCTTTTGAACACATTTTTTTTATAATTTGTGGCCTTTGTATTTGTTCCTTTTCTCTTTTAGCCCTTTATGGACATTTTTGTAAATGTACATATTTTATTAATCTAATAGAGTTTTTTGGGTGGAGTTGACTGTTATATTGACACCCTAGAAGTTGTTTGTCTTCCTCTTCACCTTATTGGTTCATATCAATTGACACGAGGCCAATATATACCAATGATGTACCTATATAAAGTTGAGTTTGGCTATTCCACCTGTGCATTTATTTATAACACAAAATATCAAATATGTATTGGCCCATATTGTCCAATATTTAGTAATAATTTAAACCAGAGGTCCAATATGGAAGTGAATGGGCTTGTTGAGATGGAAATTCAGGGATCAAGAGTGGGAATTATTTTGGGTATTGAGGCCTGATCGTAGAACCACATGAAAGCCAGAGAGAGAGAGACCCAACGTGATTAGCTATTACATTATTTCTAAGATTTTCTGAATTTCACCCATTCGGGTGAATATATTAACCCTTCACTAAATTTTTTTTTGTCCAACCCAATAAACCATGCAACTGCTGTGTTGGGATGAAATTTTCAAACCATAATTCCCATGTCTCAATCATTTTTTTTTCTTAAAAACCATACGTGGATCCTAAATGAAACATCAACAATACCAAAACTCAATTTAGTCAGATAACTTTTAATCACCTAATTTGGGTTTTATTTGAAGAGACTTTTCTCTAACATCCAATCAAATGCAATAAAAAAACTTAAGGCTAAGTTTGGGAAAAGAAAAGATACAAATATGTAAAGTGCAAATATAGGATTTAGGAATACAAAATAATAGTACAAGGTTTTGCACTGCACATAGAGTACTCTTCCCAACTGAGCCTAAAGTAGTGATCTTTTTGGATCATACTGGATTTCAGCCCGGATGATCTACTATTTTCATCTATTCCAACTGTTTGGTTTGACAGAATCAGAATCTCATTCTCATTCCTGGTGGAACAGCATTCCCCCATATGAGGGGACAGTCATTCCCTCCCCCTCTCCTAGGAATGAGAGAATCCATTCTGGCCGATTTTGGTTCTGATTCCGATTCTAGTCTGAGCCAAAGAAGTTAAAGGTATAGACCATTCTGATTCCAGTTTTGATTCCTGACTGTGAACCAAACGGACCCAAGGTAAGAGCCTTTTGAACAAGTTAAGACAGATTTGCAATGTGAAATCTTCTTGCACCCAAAGTTCAAACTTCAAAGTACCGATACACAAAAGGTATCGCACAACTGCACAATTCAAAAAGCCAATAACCACAAATTGATTTATTCAGGTTTCAAGATTCAAACCAGAGATAACCTTGGAAGGGTATTAATGACTAAAAATGGGCTTTCCACCTATCTCTTGTTATTTGGCGTATTAGTGGGTTCACCAATACGTATCAACACTTTGAACTTTGCTAGTTGTACCCCCTAAAATGGATATAAGCTTTGAGCTGATTATTACTGATCACTAGAAATTCCTACTTTGTCAGACAAAATTGCTTGTGTTTTTCATAGATTACCAAAACAATAGACTCATACTATCCTATCCCAAGAGAGAGTGGTTGCCCCACAATACTAAAATGCTGACATGCACACCGAGTATATAGACGTAGTTTTCTTTTTCTTCTCAGAGCTAAGTCATGAGTAAAAGTGATGTAGAGAAGCATAAAATTTTATAAGAAATTTCAAGTATATAATGATATCTTGCAATAAATAATAATAAATATTTTAGATATGCATTCGCCATGAGGCCCATGACATTGCTTCTGAAAAAGCAAACCTTGCTTCTATAAAACCAGGTCTTTACTTTTCCATCCTCCATACAAAACTCATACAAAGCATAGGCATAAATATTAATGGTAAGAGATAAATAGTGTAATTTAATTTAAATGCCCTCTAGATGTGACATATGAAAGTTGAATACCGTATGCTTCTTTGAGCTCTGCCAATACCTCCGCCATTGTTGGCCTCTGTGAGGCATCCCTTTCAACAGACCTTGCAGCAACAGAAGCTGCCCTTCTCATGCTCTCCATATCAAAAGTTCCTTTCAAGCAATCATCTACTATCTCAAAGGCACCTGCCTGCAAGTATGGCTTTGCCTGAAATTGAAAATTAAATGCTGATAAGAATCAATTATCAAATAATTGATATTATAATATTCATGATACAACTGGTGCAGTAAAGAAATAAAAAAAAAAACTCTCCAAGATCTTTCACTCGTATCTCTGTATCCATATCTCGAGCAAAAGATTTCCAAGCCAGTGCCTTGTAAGAAATTCTTCTAGTTGCACTGTTCAACAATTAACATATCCAGACAAAAGACGAGAGTTTATAGTAATAGTATGTATAAACAAGAGGCGAATGCCTAACCTATATCTGTTTGTATTAGTCATGGATGAACTAAGTAAGCATTTTTACAGGAGGAGCTTACATTGTGAATGTTGTTTGTTGACAACACTGTATTGATTGAAGAAACTAGAGTGGGTTTAATTAGAAACATAGAATTATGAAGGTGCTACATCAACAGGCTTTAACATAACTACTAAACAGAATATATGCAGTACAGATTTAACAACAAAGAAAAAAATGGAAAATTTAAAATTTAAAATTGGTTACCAAGAGATATTCTAATGCAACAATTTCTTGAATTAGATGGAGTGGAGAAGCATGTTGTATATCAGCATATATTTACCAAATTGAAAGTAAAAACATTCTATAAGACAGCCATATAACCATCACTACTATGTGGAGCAGAATCTTGAACAATGAAGCAGTATGTTGAAAGATGAGCATAAAGAAAGTAATGTGGATAGGTAATAAATTAGAAATAACAGAACTAGAATAGGGTGCATTTGTGCAAATCGAAGTATATCCCTGATAACTGTGCAAAAGTAGCCTAAGATGGTAGCATGTCTGTAGCAGACTGACCACTGCACTAGTAAGAAAATTTGAAAAAGTGACTTCATGCAAATTGAGATTACTAGAAAAGGCAGAGGAAAAAAGGACATGAAAAATGATCTGGCTCATAAGTTAGAATGTGGTCCTTGACAGTAATGGTGAAACCAATGTTTTCAACCCACCATTGACCCAGACATTTGAACCATTTGGATCGTCTTCCAATCCTATTTCTGGATCCAGTTTTCCTAAAGTCCAGAATTTGACCAAAAACTGTTGACATGGTCAAAACTCATTCAACCAGGTCACTGACTCACTGGATCTCGGTTACACACTACATGTACATCAAAACTTCCAGTGGCCACAACACTTTGCACTTGGTTGTTCCAAGGCGCCAAAAGCACTACATGTACAACACTTTTTAAGATCTTCGCATTCCAAGGCGCCAAAGGCACTTCTTTTTTTCCAGAAACTCATTTTTTGGCCTCAAATCTTATTTTTAGCATTTTTTTACACACAAAAAAAATAAAAACTGAAATAGAAAATATAAATTTGACATAAAACAATATGCATAAATACATATATAGATATATTAATGTATATAGATATTGCTGATGTGCCAGTCTGACCCATCCAACCTGGACGGTTGAAATGCTGACCTGTGACCCAGAGGCAAAAACGGATCAGCCTCTGGGTTGGTTTTTTAAAACATTGGGTGAAACAGTATGCATGTGGGCAACCCCAAAAGCTGGGAAATTGATTCCTTGAACTATAAACAAGAAATAAATTTGGAATTTCAAGTTTCATCTTTAATTTCAAAATTTGGGTCATGATAGGTTTTTTGAAGCGTACAATCTTCAAAATGCTGGTAAAATAATGCACAAGTTCAGTTTTGAGTGATGATGCTAATAAGCCTACCCATTTCTGTGCTTGAAGTAGGTCAAATAATCCCTTGATAATGGATCTCAGCAGTCTTCTAAAACATATCTAGGGGATGTATCAGAAGGTTTGCTCTGTTTTAATTATATTAATAAATATCTCAAGATGCTAAGCATGTTTACTAGTGGGGATTTGATAATTCCCTACAGAAACAGATTTTGCCTCTTGATAGTGAAATATTTTTACTATTCTCGCGACACTATGATATTCACCCCTAGGATGAAAAACTATGGATACTACACTTTAGGAGCATAAGACTCCTACATGTGTAAGGAAAAAGATGCCTTGTAATACATATTTAAGAGAATCTTAAACTTCACATGATAGCATATGTGATTTGGCCATGTTTTCCACTACATGTTGGTCCTACACTTCTAAGAGCATAGAGATCAACTTAACTCTCTTAAAACACACCAAAAGGCAGTGAAACACAAAATCATGTGGCAGAAATAAGAAATCTTGATGGTACCCATAACACCAAGTTGTAGGAATCTGGATTGCCAGAGTGACACAAAGGTTCACGCCCACAAATGAGCTCTAGAAGAACAACACCAAAGCTGTAAACATCACTTTTTTCAGTCAACTGCTGTGTTGAATAATACCTGCATATGAAGAAAGTAAGAATGTGGGTGAATGTTGAACGAATTCATTTAAGGATGAATCTAGAGACTTACTCAGGGTCAAGATACCCAGCAGTGCCCTTGACAACAGTAGTCACATGAGTCACATCTGCTTGAGATATTTGCTTAGAGAGACCAAAGTCACAGACCTTGGCATTCATCTCTGAGTCCAAAAGAATGTTACTAGACTTAACATCCCGATGTATGATTCGTGGATTGCTCCCATTATGTAAATAATCCAATCCTTCAAAAGAAACAGGAAGAATACTCACACCATAATCACAGTACAAATACTAACAATAATATGTATAACACCAGAAAAAAATCCAAGAAAGAAGATTAGTATTCTTTATTTCCTTTTATGTATACCCCAAAAAAGTTGGGTTAAGGCTTTGTTGAGTTGACTTTTCTTTCTATGAATGATTTTGTGGTTTTACGCATTCAAGTGATGCAGAACTAGAAATCATTATGATTTTGGAATTTCAAATGATAATAGAATTCCCTATAAAATTCTCTCCAGAGCCCTATATATTGATAAAGAATGTTCTAAAATCTTCTCTCACAACCCAACCCAACCTGAAGGTAGCATTGGGTTTGATTGAGCTTGCTTCACTTTGCTTTGCTTTTAAGAAGGTTTTCACTTCTTAGACTGAAGGTCAGCCGATTAGGGCCAGCTTTAACTAGGGGTGGCAAATGGGTAGGTTCTACCTAGAACCGAATGGAACCGACCTCAAACCAGCCTTGAACTAACCCTACCCAATCTGTTACAGGGTAGGGTCTGGTTCCAAATTATTGGAACCGACCCCCAACCAGGCTGGTTCTAGGGTCTAGGGGTTTACCCTACCTGAAATGACCCAATGAACTGGCCTTGGAACCAAACTGCTTTGAAATAAACCCCAGAATACTTTTGAGGATATGAAGATTTGAACCCAAGTACTCATGGTTAGAAAGGCCATGGTCTCACTAGTCCATTGAGTTACTCAAGTGATTTGATCATTTATTTTCATTTTAATATTTGAATGTGGATAATAAGTAATGAAAAAGGTAATATTTACAAAACTTAAATTATAACTATAAGCTTTTAAAGAGCATGCCATTTTTTAGGGGGAGAGTAAAGAAAGAACAGATTCCACAAGTAGACCCTGGAACCGACCCCGAACCTGAAACTGCCAAGGCCAAAACCATCCCTGGGACCAACCTTCACAGGGTAGGTTCTGGTTCCAAAAACCTAGAACCAACCCTACAGGGTAGGTTCCAGGTTCTGCCATGAAACCACACCTAATCGACCCATGCTCACCCCTAGTTTGAACTTTTAACATTGTATATTTGGGTAACCCTGCCCAAGTTGCACCCCCATATGTGTAAACATATAAATATAAATAGATAATACAGTTTGTGTTGAAAGATCAGCCAGTCCTTATTTAGCCTTACCTTTTCTTATTTTAAGTTGTCTTTATTGTGCTTTGGCTATATTACTTTGTGGGATATAGGCCTTATATTTTTCTTTTATTTTATTGCCACTTAAAGAGAGGAAGATTTGTAATTGTATCCCTTGTTTGGCCAACTTATATAAAGAAATGGTGTCACTCTAGATTCCCATAGAGGAAGTACATTCTTGGTTTGTTGGAGTCAGGCAAGTTAGGAACTAAATCAACTGATACTCCTATAGACCCTAACCACAATATTTGTGTGAATGATGTAGATGTATTGCAAGACAAAGGGATGTATCAATGGTTGGTGGAAAATTGCTTTATCTCTACATGACTCAACAAGACAACTCTTGTGCTGTTACTATGTTAGCGTGGTCAGCCAATATATGCATCGGCCACGACTCTCCTTTCTGTAGTTGAAAGAATACTGTGTTACTTGAAGGGGACTCCCAGCAAGGGGTTGTTATATGCTTCTCATGCATCTAAAGATTCAAAGCCTATATTGATGATGATTGTGCTAGATTTCTAGATGATAGAAGGTCCACTTCTGGGTATTGCATATTTGTTGGAGGAAACATTGTTTCTTGGAGGAGCAAGAAACAAATGGTTCATGGTGTCTCCTGAGTTATTGTGGCTAAAAACTCTTCTAATAGAGATAGGAATTGTCTTTGGTTGTCCCATGAAGTTGTTTTACAACAACCAAACTGCTATAAATATCACAAACCCAGTTCAGCATGACTGCACAAAGCATTTAGAAGTTGACAAGCATTTTATCCATGAAAGAGTGACCAATGGAGAGATTTGTTTACTTTTGTAAAATCAAGTGACTATCTAGATGATTGTTTGATGGAGGGATTGCCTCAGTTGAAATTGAAAGAGGATCTTTCCAAGCTAGGCATGCATAATCATTATGCCTAGCTTGAGGGGGAATGTTGAGAGGTGCTTAGCTGTAGGTTTTATTAATGTTTTATACTAATAAAGGGTGTTATTGTAATTGTTCATACATTAGTATAAGTTCTAATGGAAAGGGCCACAATCAAGATAGATTGATCCTGTAAAAATTCTCTCCTACCTCCCTCTCTGTTCCCCTTTTCTTCTCCTTATTTTTTACTTGTCTTCTCTTTCCCAATCTTCTATTAATCAAGTGTTTTTTGTTTCTTGAGGATCTTTGGAGAGCTTTGGAGTTTGCTTTTCTGCCTAGAAACACTTGGACCTATATTTTGGAGAGCTTTAGAGTCAAGAATAAACCAGAGAATCTTGGACCTATTCTTGGAAAGGAAAGTGGCTATCAGATTTTGTTTGATTTATTTCAAAACCTCATTGAGATAAATAACCATTGGAAGGGCTGTCTATGGTGTTTGTAATAATTGGCTATTGATCTCTCTTTGTTCTAGTGGCCAAAAGGTTAGTTCAACCCCAAGAATTGATCTGGGTTTTTTTCTTGATTTCCTTGATCCCTCTTATATTGTTTGAGGAGTGTCTAGTTCAATTGCATTAAATTGCTGCAATGGACCCTATTTTTGGTGAGCTGAAACAAGGGGTGGAACCTGGAATGGTGCTGGGAAGTGTTGTAGACCCTCAAATTGGTAGTATGATTATTACAATCAATTTAGATGACAAAAAATTACTTAGAATGGGCATAGCCTATGAAGACTAATTGTAATTATTCCTGATAGAATTAGGAAAATTATATGGTGATGTCTTGGTTGATTAGTTCTATGAAGCCTTACATTATTGCAATTGTTTATGGATGAAGATAACCAAAGAAGTTTGGGATTGTGGTTCACAGACCCACTTCATCCACTTGATGTTGCCAGAGCTTATTACCTAAGGCTTCAGGTTAATAACCTAAAGTAGAGAGATAGTCCTCTTGATCTTTATTTTTCCACTCTACAGTCATACTGGTAGGTGATTGGTCATTTAGAGACTATGTAGTGGCCAAGTAAGGAGGTTGTTGATACCTACAAGAAGTTGGTAAAGAGGAATAGGATATTTGAGTTTTTGGTTGGGTTAAACCTAGAATATGACTTCACTAGGCAGCATATTTTGACTTGTGGGGATCACACTCTTTCTTAGACTCTTTTATGAAAAGTAGGAGGGTCATACTTCAGCTGGCCTCAAATTTGTTTGCCCATGTAGCTATAGTTAAGCCTAAGCTAGAGAACACCTTAGAATTTGTCCACCATAAAATCCATTACTCAGGCCAGGCTAATACCATCAAGGAGAGCATGAGCCCCTACTAGTAAAAAATTTGGAATAGCATAATAATTTGACAAGGCAGCAAGCATGTTATAGTTACCATCTCTTATTATGCCACCACCTTCTCCAATACCTCTACATGTTTAAACACACCATCAAATATTCAGTTTCACAAAACTCGGTTAAGGAGGGTGACATACACAACTCTTATCCTTTGACTCCTAGCAAGTATGATATCAATTCTCAAGGATTCTATTGTTAACTTTTGCAAAAGTCAGATACTTAGTTTGAATAATTTACATTGCATTAACCCTGGGATTTCGAGCCAAGCCCATTCGGATTTTAACAAAATCTAAACCGTTTTTGCCTCTGAGTTGCGGGTCACCAGTTCGATCATCCGGGTAGAACGGGTCAGATTATTTTATATTTAATGTATATTTTTAATTCAGTTTTAATTCTTTATTTGTTAAAATATTAAAAATTGCAATTTGAGGCCAAAAAAGGGTTTTTCATGAAAATAGTGGGGAAAAGTTGACCTACAGACGTTTTCATACGTATTTAGTGTGCCACCCGTGACCCGATCACCGGGTTGAATAGGTCAATGGTCCAACCACCTGGGTTAGATGGTTTTTTGACCAATTCCTGGGTTTTACTAAAACCAGACCCGAAATCATGGCAGGGTGGCGGTTCAACCATCCGAGTTAGTGGCAGGTTGAAAACACTACCCAAGACCACCTAAGTTGCATACCTACCTGATTTGATAGATTCTGTAGTGCATTACTCAAAGATGGGTTCTTACAGGCTCAATCAGATCATTACTTTATTCATTAGGATGAAGCCATGGCGCATGGTGCTTCAGATATGTTATGGTTCAGGATGATAAAACCAAGCATATTGAGGTGGACACACTTTATTAAAGAAAATGTGATTTTAGGAGAAGCATATCTTATGTGAGAACAGAGGGACAGCAAGCAGATGTCTTCATTAAAGGTGTCAACTAGGTGAAGCTAAATCAGATCGGAAGGGCAGGCATGATTAATCTATGCTCAGTTTGAGGGGGAGTCTTGACAGATCGGGCAGCCCTTATTGGGCCTTCTCTTTTCTTATTTTAAGTTGTGTTTATTGGGCTTCGGTGGTTTATGAGCCTAATATGGGATTTTATTTTTCTTTTAATTTATTGCCACTTAAGTAGGGGCAGATTTGTAATTGCATCCCTCAATTAGTTGGCCAATTTATATAAAGAAGTAGGAGTGACACAGGGCTCCCACAATTGACAGCTTTCTCTTCACTCTCTCTTCTCTTCTTCTTCCTTCTTCTGTTTTCTGTTAATTTTATGCACTACAGTTTTGTGGATTTAAACAAATATTCTTGTCTGAAATCACAAGTGCTAGCAGGACAGGTGGAAATGACTAAGCCTAAGTACTTTAATGACTACAAACTTTTTCATATTGGCATAAATAATAAAATAAATAGATGGGGGACAATATTAGAGAATACCTAGTGGATAAAACCATTAACTTTAAGAAATAGGAATTGAGTTCTTGTTAATTAAGTTTGTTTTAGCAGAGGTAATTAATGTTATCAGTAACATATGCACTTTAATGGAACAAGATGAAGTTAATGTTATCAAGAGGCAATCTTGGAAAAAGATGGATGAACCAATTTAGAGAATCCTAGATAGAGATGATATTTTATTGAAGGGATTAAATAGCCATGTAACAAAGGAAGGGTAGTATATCTGATGGTACATGAAGGATATGGATTTGGAGAAAGAGATGACTGGCATGATGTTTGAATTTACAACAGCACATGGTCTTGCCATTGAAGATAAAACACTAAAAGCTAATAGACAGATACTATAACTTATTAAAGAAAGTCAAATAAAAGCCAAACGATGTTCCTTTTCTCTTTATCAGAACAAAGGAACCACAAGATGGACATTGTTGTTCTATTGGATATTTTGACCATACAGCATATGTTTTAATACCTAATTTTTTACCGGGGCCACTTCAGTTTTCTCTCTCACTACTAAAATTGCCAAGCTCAATTTGGTCTACTAGGTCCATAAAAGCAATCTAGAGTATGATAAACTTACATCCATTGAAGCCATCGCAAACCATTGCCTAGGTCTCTAGAATCCTTTTACCAAGTTTGACAAAAAAAATTAAACAATTTGAGCACCTAATCTATATATATCGTCCAACTACGCTGCATCAATTAATTCTGAAATTAAAAAATTATGAAATCCAATTTCGGTCTTTATCTATACAATCTCTTCCTTGGTCATAAAACCTTGCAGCTCAAGTGATGCAGGCGCCAAAGAGTCAAAATTAGAACTTACTGAATTTGCCTATTTTTGTATTTTTAAAAAGAAAGGGTATTTTAGACATTTTACATAATGTTTGTGGAGCCTGTCCTCGTCAAGGTTCAAAATGATATGTATCGGCCAATACGGGCCGATACGTGTCGATACTTTGAACCTTGGTCCTCGTAGTTGATTTGTACAATAATAGCATAGTTGTGTCTAAAGTTTCAAAGTCATTGGGTAAATCATTTAGGAATCATGGTGTTTTCTTTTGATAGTGGCAATTATGTAATTTTTGTTTTTCCTAGTTCTACTGGGAGTTGCTGCCCCTACAATGTCTATACATGTATTTTGAGACAAAAATGTAGAGACTAAAATTAACTACGTATGGGAAGGAGGGTATCCATGGCGTATGGCGTCTGTCGTCTGTTAAGGACATAGTTTTGATTTGAGAAGAATAGATAAAGGTAAATACAAAACTAGGATGCATGGAAAACCCAAATGGAGATAGAATATATAGTGTAACTTCAATAAATATAAGAACATAAATAATCAATTATTTAATGTCAATGGTCAAGAGGTTCCTCAAACCAACCATTTTTAGCATGAGTCAAGTATCAATGAAGACACTTGAAGAGGATGCTAAACTCATAGAATTAGAGATAGATAAAGTGCACTTTTGTAGTGTTGTCAATCTAGCAAAACTACTAAAGACAAAGCGAAGTATAGAATGGATACCATTAGAAATAATCTAGAGGGAAAAGTTTTGGTCAATTAAGAAGCAACACTGAAATAAAATTGTTATAGCCAAGATGGATAACTGGTAAGGCTTAAAGTATAAGATTAGAAATGAGAATATCTGACTGAATTAATAGGTAACACATAAAATGAAGGAAAGTTAACTGAGATGGATGGGCAATGTAAAATGAAAACCAAGGGAATCATTGAGGATCACAAACAAGGTAATACCAAAAAGAACCTAAAACTCAAATAGTCAGAAAAATTTTAGCTTCTTATTCTTTAATGCAATGTATGACTTCAATGGAAAAGAAAAGTAAAAGAAAAGGAAAGAAAAGGAAACAAGGAACAAATGAACATAAGACTCCCTCTTCAACTTGTCAATATTTAGTCCAGTGCCACCAACTCACCACCATAGGACAAAAAGAAGCCTTTTTTTTCTGGAATTTAAGGTTAGAAACCTTTAGCCACTCTTACTCTACAGCAGGAACAGTCCAACATGTGTTGGATATAGACTTATAGACCGACTTGGATGGATAAATAGATCATACAACATGCTCATTACAGATTGCAAGAGTTAAAGCTGATGGTTCTTTTCCCTTGTATCATTGTTATCCTAAAGAATAAATTCTTAGAATAGCATAGAAAAAAAGATTACCTTTGGCAGCATCAACAGCAATTTTCAATCTACGAACCCAGCTCAATGTTACATTTTTACTATTTGAACCTGAAACAGTTGATTGCTTAATTACACAAACAAATATGTCCAATTTACAAGAATCCGGTTGGGAATGTTATTGTAGAGTAAAAAATAATCAATCTGTTGATTTCCACATACCATACAAATTATCAGCCAAAGATCCGCCTGATAAGTACTCATAGATGAGTATTTGCTGTTTTGATTCATGACAGAATCCTTCCAAGGATACAAGATTTTGATGGCGAACTTGTGACAAAAGATACACCTGTAGATCCACTTAACAACAAGGTTATGCAAGAATTAGAGGATCAGAAGTGTTTCCAACACTACATTTGTCTATACAACTATAGGAAAAAATAAGAGGAAGCATGCAGTATTTCTAAAACATCTAAGAATATTTAGATATAATGCATAAAATATAGACTTGTGGTCCATTCTTGAAATTAGAAATATTGCCAAATCTTGAGAACATTTATTACTAATAACCTTTTGGAAGTTATAAAAGAAGCATGGATACCCATTAAGGTATTATGAATTTCCACACATGGGAACACAAAGCATATAAACAAAAATGATTGCTATTGACTTTGGGTGTCAAATATTATTCCATTTTCTTTTGTTTGTATTTAAAGTAAAAGCTAGGATTTATGTATGAGTGCTCTTTTATGCAACTAGATTTATTCATTCTTTTGTAAGAAATATTAGAGAGTGGGATATAATGCCATTGTTAATTAAGAGGGCATTCTCCAACTTGAAATGTTTTTCTTGTTGCCAGTTCCAAAAACAAACCAAAAGTTCAAAATATCTCATTTGAAAACAAATTGTTTCTAAAACAAAAACATAGAAAACACATTCTTGGTTGTTAGTGTTTTTTTGTTTTCAAATGTTTGAAGAGAGAAAATTTGTTTTTGTTTTAGAAAACATAATTTTGATGGTTTCAAAAACATGATTTGTTTTTGGAAAAAATAATAATCTTTTTTTTCACTTCTCAAAACAAAGACAAGGTTAGAGAACATGTTTTTTATTTGATGTGGCAATTTTGAAAACAAGTGAAAAAAAAATCTTTGCATTGTTGAACACCCCCTAAATTAATGAATGAGTCTTCATAAATAGAAATTTCAATGGATTCAAAAAAGGAGAGAAAGCAAATGAATGTTACAGGTTTCACTGTTGAAATGTAATTGTTTGGACAATATTTTTGTACATGTGTGAGAAACATAATATTAATAAATGAGTTGTAAAGTAAGAGTTGTAAATCTAGGACTTTAGAAGAAAGAAAAGAAAAGAAGAGAGGAAAAGAAGAAGAAGAGAGATGTATCGAGAGGTATGTGTTGGTTAATACTGTTCATACCCTCAAAATTTCTTTATATTTTGAAAAGAGAAAAATTACAAGTAAGCCCCTATTTGGGTGACCAAATACAAAGATAATACAAAAGAAGAGAAAAAGACTAAAACACCCCTATCTAAGCATTCTCAACACACCCCCTCAAGATGAGAATATATGTCAATCATGCCCATTTTAGCAAGGTTCTGAACACCTTTAGTGAGGCAATCAGCTAGTTTGTCTTCCGACCTTACAAAAGGAAGGCAAATTTCTCCGCTAGCAATTTTCTCTAATAAAGTGTCTATCCACCTCTTGTACGATCATGTTGAACAGGATTGTAGGCAATATTTATGGCTGCTTGATTGTCACGATATAGTCTCATTGGAATATCTATTTGGATGCCCATCTGATTCAATGAGGTCTTCAACCAAAGTAGTCAGACACTCCATGAGCCATTGCCCTGTATTTTGCCTCAACACTAGAACGAGCAATAACATATTGTTTTTTCTCCATGAAACCACATAGCATCCAACTAAGGCACAATAACCCGATATAGATCTTCCATCATCAATGGGCCTTGCCCAATCAGCATTTGTGTAAGCCTCAATCTTTTGATGGCCATGATTGGAATACAACATCCCTTTGCCAGGGCGTCCTTTTAGATAGGCTAAAATTCTGTTAACTGCCTGCATATGAGATGTCCTAGGTTCATGCATATATTGGCTAACCACTCCAACAACATAGGATAAGTCAAGTCTAGTCAAGAAGAGATACAAAACGCAGTCCACCAATCTCTGATATATCCTCCTGTCTGGAGAACTTCTCCTTTAGTGGAACTCAACTTGTGGTTGGGATCAATTGGAGTTTCTACAAGCTTACACCCTAATTTCCCAACTTGAACAAATCAAGTACATACTTCCTCTGTGATAGAAAAATCCCCTTCTTGGATCTTACAACTTCAATGGCAAGAAAGTATTGAAAATCACCAAGGTCCTTAATCTCAAATTCGGAAGCAATGAAGGACTATAACTGAGAGATACTTGTGATATCGTCACCTATCACAACAATGTCATCAACATATACTATCAACATTGTTACTCTACCATCAACTCTTCTAATGAATAAGGTGTGGTCAGCCTGAGATTAAGAAAACCCAATCTTTAAGATAGCATTTCCAAAATTTTCAAACTAGGCTCTCGAGGACTACTTGAGCCCATACAAGGACTTCTTCAAGAGGAAAACTTTTCCATCACTATTAGGAAAGCTTACTCCAGGTGGTAAGTCCATATCCACTTCCTTTTGTAAATCCCCATTAAGGAAGGCATTCTTTACATCCATTTGATATAAGGGCCATGAGTAATGGGCAGCAAGAGACATGATCACACGAATAGAATTCATTTTAGCAACTGGAGCAAAGGTTTTCAGATAATCAATGCCATAAGTTTGAGTATATCCTTTGGCTACAAGCCGAGTTTTGTACCTCTTAATTGAGCCATCTGCCTTGTGTTTAATAGTGTAAACCCACTTATACCGAACAGGAATCTTATCCTTGGGACAAGGAACAACCTCCCAAGTTTGATTCTTTATTAAGGCCTCCATCTCTTGATTCATAGCTTCCTTCCAATGAGGGGACTGCATTACTTTTGTAACGATGTGAGGGATGGAAATAGAAGAGATGGAAGAACTATAAGCATAGTAGGAAGGTGATAGAGCATCATAAGACACATAGTTAGTAATAGGATACTTGCTACATGTCCTCTTCCCTTTTCGAATGGCAATAAGAAGGTGAAGGTCAGAATCAGTAATAGGATTGTTAGGAGGTTCAAGATTACCTGAGTCTGGGAGATCAAATTGTGATGGGCATTTTGCTTCAAGAGCCACCCTCTTACTACGCTTGATGAAAAACTACTGCCAAGACCAAGGTCGATACACAGGAGGAGGAGGAGGAGGAGGAGAAGGAATACCAACATTACAGGGAAGAAAGGAAGGAGAAGGAGGAACAGAGATAGGAACAAGAAGGTAGAAGGAGTCCCCTCACTTGCATTCTCCCCTTAAAGAGAAGGATGATATAACTGGAAAAAAGATGACTCCAAAAAGATAACATCCTTAAATACGTATCTCTTGCCAGAGAGAGAATCAAAGCATCTATAGCCATTTTGGACTAGAGAGTAACCAAGGAATACACATTTAACTGATTTAGGATCAAAATCACACAAAAAATGACTCATATCATGAACAAAACAAACACAACCAAGATCTTGAGGGGTAGATTAAAAGAAGGTTCATCAAGGAAGAGAAGTTGGTAAGGAGATTGAAGATTAAGGACCCTTGACGGAAGTCTGTTAATGAGATACATGGTTGTCTCAATAGCATCACCCTAGAACAGGTGGGAATAGGAGTTTGAAACAATAAACCTCGAATAAGTTCAACCACATGCCTATTCTTCCTCTCAACCACCCCATTTTGTTGTAGAGTATGACTACATGAACTTTGATGAATAATGCCCCGATCTTCAAGAAATCTATGCAAATGATGTTCAAAGTATACCTTAGCATTATCAAATCTTATTATCTTAACTCTTTTCTCAAACTGTGTATCTACCATATTCATGAAGTTTTGAACAATCATAGGAACTTCATCTCGACTTTACATTAAGTAGGTATACCGACTGTAGTCATCAATGAAGAGGATGAAATATTTCTACCCACCCATGCAAGGGATAACATATGGGCTCCAAACATCTGTATGGATCAAATGGAAAGCAACATTACTTCTTTTACTACTCACAAAATATGTGGTTCTACATTGTTTAGATAAATGACAAACTTCACATTCAAGGTTCAACTTCAACACATAGTCAAATAAGTTTGGAAACAAAAGTTTTATAGAATCGAAAGTCATATGACCAAGATGACAATGCCATAAATTCAAAAGACTCATTTTTTTATTTGAACAAAACTCAGTCTGGCTCAACAATCCATGCTCTGAAGGTCCACCAAAGAGGTAGACTCCATCAACTTCATGCCCACTTCCAATCATCTTCCCCGTGCTTAGGTCCTGAAAAACACAATGAGTAGGAAAAGAAAATGTCGCTAAGCAATTATGGGATTTTGTAAGAGAACTAACAGACAACAAATTTTTATGTAACTAGGGCACATGAAGAAAAGATCCAAGAGAAAGGTTATAAGTGAGTTTGACTTCACCCTAACTCGAAATAGGGGTTTGAGATCCATCAACAACAGTAATCTTTCCCTTCCCTGGGGTTAACTTATATGAGGTAAAATGTGAAGGCATACCAATCATATGTACATTGGCCCCAAAGTCTACAATCCATGGGTTAAAAGATGTGGAACAAGCAAGTGCAGTACCTATCTTGGCATATGAACTAGATGGATTACTAGGTTCTGAACCAGATGAGGAGGATGTACCACCTTTTTCCAGCTGCAATAGTATATTCCTGAGTTTGTCCATTACATCAGAGGAGTCAAACACATTAGAATGTTAAGCATCATTATCAACTAAAGCCAAGTGAGCATTGTCCTTCTTCCCGGTTTTGTACTTCTCTAGTTTTAAATAAGGATTGAGCTTCCAACACCTTTCTTTAGTATGTCTTGGCTTCTTGCAATAATCACAAACAATATCCTCGGCCTTCTTGGTAATAGGGTGCTTGCTAGTATTTTGCTTGGGTCGAGATGACATAAAGGTAGAGTGATCAATCACAGGCTTCTCTCCCTATCTCAACATCTTTTCTGGCCACATTCATCTTCTGATTGTATGTTTCAGCTACACTGTCCCATATCTCCTTTTCTGAATCCATCCAAAGATGAGCTAACTTATGTGAGGTTGCATGGAATTGACTAACCACCCAATAGCCATGTAGTTCTCCTGCGTCTATTTTCCATATGTAGGATTAGACTCTTCTATCTTCTTCTTGCTGCTTGTGAGATAACCCAGCTTGCTTCTACTACAAACATGTAAAAGAAGGAAACTTAGTGCATGAGATCCCTGCCAATGCGGAATCTGGGGAGGGACAGATATATGCAGCCTTACCCTTACACATACAAAGAGGTTGTTTCCAAGATTTGAACCTTGGTCACCCAGGTCCCAATGGAGAAACCCAACCATTGTGCCAAGGCCCACCATCTTGCCTCTACTACAAACATGTATCCATACAAATTCTGCCAAAGCTAGGTGATTAGTCCATCTAACTTGATTGTGGTCACAACATTCAATATTAGTTCTACAAGCTGTGTTGGACCAACCACAAACTCTATTCTCTGCTACACTGATCAAATGAAACAAAAACCCGGTACTACTAACCCAAAAACACTGACCTACAACCAAATCAACACTATAATCATTGTAATCTAGGGTTTCACTAAACCCTACAACCCAGGAGAATAAGGGGAGTTGCAACTGCTCCAACCAAGCACTCCAAAAACTTTCCCAATTGAAATCGATCTCCACTAGACTTCAATTTGAACCCACTAAGTCTTGAGTGCCAGCCTAACTCAGCCCCCTTGACCCTTATCCAAAATTCTCTCTAGTCAACTAGGGTTTTGGACAAAAGACTCTAAGCAACTTCTTGGGCTTCCAAAACAGATTCTATCGTCTCCACACCCTTCTACCAACTGGGCAGCATCAAGCATGAAGATTCAGCAGCTTATCTTTTCATACACCCTTCGATTAGAAGTGTGTATGGGATCAAAAAGGAAAGAAAAGAGAGTTTTGTATGCTAGATACCAAGTAGAAGAATAAACAGCAGTAAAAGACATATTTAATCAATAGAAAGCAGAAGAAAGAGGATAGAATGTGCAGAGATAGAGAAAGAAGAAGTGGGGGAAGAAGGGAGAAGGAGAAGCTTGGTTCGATGCTTTCTCTAATCCCCTCAAAGGATCTTTTATTAGATTCAGAAAGATAAAAATGAAATTACAATGATTCCCTTAATGAGGCAACAGCTCGATAAACATAAAATAACTCTAGTGAAAAGTTAACAAGTCCATAATAAGAAGGCACATCAATACAAACATAAAAACATAAATAAAAGAAGGCTAAGACTTGCTAGCCGGCCCATCATCTCTACACAGGCTATTAAAAAATATTTTACAAGATATAAAACAGAAGTTCAACTTGGCCACTTCCATGGTAAATCATTATCATCATCATCATCATCTAAGCCTCACCCCAACTATATGGGGTTGGCTACATTCTACATTAATCCTGTTCCACCATTCCATTCTGTTTAATGGTATATCCATTGTTAAACTTCCATGGTAAATCTGTCATACAAAATAATGTAACAATTCCAAAGAGCACCTATTATTCCACATTTGTTCTCCAACTTGTATTAAAGAACCTAAATTCCACTATCATCAGCTTCTGTTAATGGTTCTGGGCTTAAGCAAACCAACTTAACCAATTCATGCTATTTGGCTTGACCAATTAATCATCTGATTTTCATGAACATGCCATGTAGTCTACTTGATCCTTTAACATATTTCAGTTAAAATAATAAGGAAATCTTGAGTCCCATTATGTTTCAAATTGAATGGGTACCAAAAGATATAAACACAACTGCAAATATCATAGTATGAACTGGTGTGGGAAGGGTTTGTTTGTACAATGGCAGCTTTATGTCTTCATTGTTTTTATGACAAGGATGACCTAATATAATTTCCATTCTTTTTTCATCCAATTCCACATCACTTGATGTAAGCATATATCCAATTCCCAACCCTCTTCTACAAAAATGATATGGTATTAACAGAAACTAATGAGTTTTCCATGCTTTGGCAGTAAGCAGTGTTATGGATGAAGATACATTCTGAACTCACATCTGTGGTGTGAAACCATTTCATAGTTTTCCGATCTATCCAACTTAAATACTTCTAGAGGCACCAAGAATTTCCTATCTCAAACATAACTTAGCATAGGTATACAATTCAGTTCAACTAAACTCAACTCGACCTTAACCCCAACTATTTAGGGTTGACTACATGAATCTTGTCCAGCCATTGTTCTCTATCAAGAGATGAGTTTTCTGTCAAATTGCAAGTCAGATCATTATTTACCATATCAGCTTCCTTTTTCCAGTAAATATTACATAGCAAAATTATCTCATCCAGAAAGAGTTAAAACATTCTATGGATATTGGGGAATTATCCTTACATAAGATATACAACAAAATAAATAAATAAATAATTAAAAAAGCTCAGACAGTAAACCTCATTGATAAAGGAATCAGCCCCAAGTGGGGTTTGGTCAAACCGCACTTTCACAGCAACTAGTTTTCCATCTTGAAGTTTTCCAAGGTAGACAGATCCAAAACTTCCACGGCCTATAATCTCCTTAAAGTTACTTGTAGCTGCTTTGATCTCTTTGCAAGTTAAGACTTTGGTTGCATTCCAGTTCCGCATCTCAGATGATGTTCCTGAATATTAAAAGGCCACATTGTCATATCAGAATACAGTAATGATCTTGTAGAAAATACCATTTATATGATCTATGATCTGTGCATACCTGCTGTAGATGTGAATTTGCTTCCTTTTTCCCTCCTATATATGAATACCAAAAATGCAATAAAGAGAAGGGCACATAAGACTCCACAGGTTATACCAATTATAAGCGCCTTCCGATTATGACCATTGTGTTTTGTTGGGTTAAACATTGTAACATGTGGTGTCTCAATTGAAGAATTGCTATAAATGTCATTGCATGATAATGTGGAGAAGGAAAGGCATATATTCCCCGATGTTCTGTACCAAAGCATATTAGTTAGTTAGGTGTCTAAATGTACAACCAGAAATAACTTATGCAACAGGGGGTTTTGTTTTCTGAATGTGGACATTTTGGATTTATATTTGCACTTTATCTAGATCAATCATATAAAAAACTTTACCGTATATCTATAGTTTTTTTATCAGCACTGTATATCTATTGCTTCCAAGTATTAATTTTATATACCTTCTTATGTAATTCCCATTGGATCATTCTAAACTAAGTACCCCATTTTTACACCTTACACCTTAGTTGTATGAATTGAATTGAATTGTTTTAGAAAATACATCTCAGAACATAGAAATATATGAAATAAACTGAATAAACATATCAGATTTTTGGGGGTGTGTTTAAACTAATCTACAGTAAACAACATAAGATCTATTCATACCTAACTTCCAAATTTTCCCTGTTCAGAGACTGGGGGAGTGTGCCTTGAAGTTTATTGTTTTCCAGATTCCTACAGAAACAGGATATCATGTATATACTGAAGCAACTCCATATCAGAACTAAAAATATATATAATTCATTACTACTTGATCCCACTCACAATAGATGAAGGCCTTTTAGATTTCCCAAGTTGTCTGGAACTGTTCCCTGCAAACTATTGTTTTGCAAATCCCTTCATGTGCCAAATATACTGCAACATTAGTACAAACTTGTCTATCCATCTATAGGTCTAGAAATTAGAACCAAATAGTTTTTTATATCATTTGTCTTTACTACATAAGTTACAAAATTTATACTTCAGTTCAATAGAGAAGCAAATAAACAACATATTTAAGCTTCCTCAACTACTGTCAATCTTGAATCTTGAAACTTACAAAATCTGAAGGCTAACCAAGGTGGCGAAATCAGATCCAAAGGAAGTTAGATGATTGAAACTCAGGTTCCTGCAATAATCAAGTTGACATTCCTCAAATGCTTAGTTTAGAGAATCCCAAAATCAACATTTTCAAAACCAATTGGAGGTCAGACGGGTCAGACCAGAAGGCCAAGCAGTTCATAGTTTTAGTGGTTTAACTAGTCAAGACCATGAAGCCATTCAACAAGAGCAATTGAGAAGCTTTCTGGCTTTCAATTGGTTTCTGTTGAGAGAAGCAATATTTCTTGTATATAGGGGTGGCAGGGTAGTTTAGACATTTTACCTTATAAAATAAGAGTTCTCCAGTTCGTAAATTATTATAAACAGCGTTATTGTTTGTTGTAGACATCAATTATCAAGTTAATATAAAAGACTGGCCAACTGCTTTAGAAGAGATTAAGCATTCTAATTCTCTTCTAATCAGTCTGGCTGGTGTTCTTCTCCTCCAACCTCTTTTTTCTCTCTTTCTCTCTTGATTTTTCCTCACTTCTCTTTTCTGTTTTCTTCCTGTACTATTCTCATAACAGTATACCATATTTATATGGTATTAAAAAGAAGGAAAATTCATTCTCTTTTCCCTAACCAACCTGACTAGGATTTCTTCTCTAAGTGTGCTTCAACTTCCTATTGGGGATTGGACCAAGTCAAAGAATTTTTCTGGCTGATTGGTGATTGTTTCAGCCATCACAATTTTTGTGAAAGGTCATCTGTGAAATGTGTCCCTCTAGTGGGTTTAAACCAAGAGGGAAGTTGCAGTTTTTATGGGAGACGATTTGGAATATGTGTTGGTCATGAGGCGACTGAAGTGTGATTCAAGAGGCAGTGCTTGTGAGGTGACAGATTTGATATGTGATAATGAGGAGTATTCCAGCCAATGACCAGGTTAGGGATGGCAATTTTCCGAAAAATACCAGGGTCATGCCCTGCCCGCCCCAAATGGGGTGAGTTTGCCCCAATCACAAATGAGGATGGGGCGGGGATGAGAAAAATATTTTTGCCCAGAACCAGGGATGGGGCGGGCATGGGGTTTGCACATAATTCCCCAAACTCGCCCCGAACCCAATGGTAAATTAGTAAAACACCTCTAGGTTTAATATTATTTCTAAAATACCCCTAAGTTTCCCCCAAATTCCTAAAACTCTAGGATCCCATAACTCCACTTCTAAAATACCCCCAAAGTTCCATAATCCAATTCCTAAAATGCCTCCAAATTCCCATGATCCTATTTCTAAAATACCCCCAAAGTAGATGTATTTTTTTGTGGTTGCCTCAGGTGGGGAAAATTTGGGGATTCCCAGTCCTCAACAGGAAGTGAGTGCCTTTTCCTGAACCCGCCCCACCATTGGGGACAGGGCGGGGATGGGGCAGGGTATCTTGCGGGGATGGGGAGGGGGTGCCCCACCCCAAACCCACTCCATTGCCATTCCTAGACAAGGTTGGTATTTCATATTTTCTGTTAGTATTTCAGATCCTTGTTAGGTAAAGAAACCTATTGGAGTTGTGTGAATTTTTTGGTTTAAGTGAGGCAGAATGAACTCAAAAGCAACTGGTGTGATACCTACAAACTTCATGTTAACAACTATTAAGTTAAATAGGAGTGGAATTATGTTATTTGGGCCAAATCAATAGCGGTGTCTCTTATGGGTAAAGGGAAACCAAAATACCTTATTGATAAGAAACTGGGGACTGAAAATTCAAAATATTCAGAGTGGATACAAGAAGATGCTCAGATTAAAACCCAGTTATGGAATGGAGCCCAAAACTAGTAGCACCCTCATATTTCTTGATACTTCTGAGAAAATTTGGGACCAAGGGAAAAAGAATGTATTCAGGTGGTAACAATATTACTCAAATATATCAATTATTCCAATCAATTTTAGTTTAAGTAGGGAGTAAAGTCTCTTGAAGACTATTCTTCTGATATGGTGAGCTTATGTGAAAAACTGAATATGAGTCAGTGAGAGCCCAGATTTTAGGCAACCTAGAGTTACCTAATTTGGAGGATGTATTCTCTAGGCTTCAAAGAGCTGAGGTATCTAATTCAACTCAACATTTGATCAAATTGCCTTTTCTTTGCTGTTTCTAGAAGCGGTGGTCGTGGTAATCATGGTGTATATGGAGGTGGACATGGCCCATCTGGACCACCAGGTGGTAGAGGTGGCCATGGACGTAGTACTGGTAGAAATACATCAACCAGATTTTATACTCATTGTGGATTAGAGGGTCACACCATTGGATATTATAAAGATCTATATGGAGTTTGATTCTGCATAAATTGTCACTGTGAGGGCCATACAGTTGACTATTGCCATTTTCTGAGAAGGGGAGGGAGTTATGTTAATCAAGCATCCTATCATGATGATGTGACCAATGCATCCCCAAGATGCTTGCCACAAATAATTAGCTAGAATGGGAGACTAACTATTTCCAAGGAGAAACATAACAGATTGATGGATGCTACATCTTGCTCCACTGCTACTCTTGTCTAGACATCAAATACTGGTTCCACTTGCCTTCTCTGTACCATATCTCCTTGGGTCATTGACTCAAGAGCCACAAACCAGATGACAGGTACTTCATCTGCTTATATCTAGTTCAGTCCTTTATCTTCTTCTACCTAACATGTTATTATTCTGAGCTATGCCAAGTGTCTGAAATTATAAAAGCTAGTCCAACTCCACAACTGCATCATCTGTGCTTTATGTTCCCTGGATCCCTTTTAATCTTATGTGTGTGAGTAAACTCACAAAAGCTTTAAATTGTTCTATTGCCTGTTACCCTTCTTACTATGTGTTTTAGGACCTAAGACGAAGAAGCAAATCGGTGGAGGACTTGAGTTTGGTGGCTTCAACTACCTATGAAGAAGAAGATCGGTGATTTCTACCATCACTCTTCAGTCATCATCTCCAAATGTGTCTATTCTAGATCCATTGCTCACTGGGTCATCCTTCTTTGAAGAGTCTTTGTGATTTGTTTCCATTGCTTCGTCTAACACCAACTTTAAGTGTGATGTGTGTCAACTTAACAAACATCACTGAGCTACCTTTCCTCCTTGGGCTGTTAGTCATGTGTTTCAAGCATTTAAGTTAGTGTATTCAAATATTTCGGGTCTGTGTCCTATTGTGTCACATTTGGGCTTCAAGTATTTTGTTACTTTGTTTGATGACCCTTCTAGAGGCACTTAGTTATTTTTGTTAAAAGAAATATCTGAGTTTTTTTTTGTATTCAAATCATTATTTATGGAAATAAAAACACAGTTTGACTTCAACATTTGTGTTGTTCAAACAGATAATGCAAAGAAATATATGCTTTCCCTTTTTATTGGTTTCCTTGATGAGCATGATAATTCGACAACAAACATCTTGTATTCATACACCACAACAAAGCAGTGTAGCTAAACACAAAAACGCCATTTGTTAGAAGTAACATAAGCCTTTCTCATCCAGATGAATGTTCCCGAAATCTACTAGAGTGCTGTCCTTACAACTTGCTACCCCATTAATCGGATGCTCTCATTGATTTTACAAAATAAAATTCCTCATTCTATTCTATTCTTTGATACAACTTTGTTTCCTTTGCCTCTATGCATATTTGGATGTGTTTGCTTTGCACATATTTTTTACCAACAACGAAATAAACTGAATGTCAAGCAGTTAATTGTATATTTTAGGTTATTCTATAACTCAAAAGGGGTACAAGTGTGTTGAAATAGCTTGTTTATTCTGGTTATTTTATTCATTTTATTTTCTCCTGTTCTGTTTTAGAATAACTTAGTTTTTTATTATGTTTATGTACTGTAAGTGCTGCAGGGGCATAAGAGTCCATTCCCCATTTTTTAAGTGTAGCCCTATATAATATAATATATTCTGGTGCCACCAGAACTGATTTTGACTCCCAATCACTTTCACTTCTCTTATCCCTTCTCTCTTCTCTCTCTCCTCTCTTCTTGCCCCTTATTTCTTTTGTATTTTTCTGCTAATATGGTATCAGAGCAGTGCTACTGGGTTTAAGAGTAGATCGAACAAGTGTTTTTTGATTTTTCTTCTTGCTGTTTTTTCCAGACTGAGGTCAAAAAAAGATAACCTACGACTGATACATTTTTTTTTTACTTCCTTCTTCTTTCTCTTGGTCGTGTACCAAGAAAAAAAAATCATATGGATTAAGATTGCTGCATGCTGCCAGAGTGGCTGTGAGGTTCAAACCTCTTTTCTGTGGATCATGTGATCCTGTGCCTGAGAATGAAACATCTGTAGGTCTCGTATGACCTGATTTTACCCTTTTTTGGTGCGATGACACTATTGTATGATCTCACCTGATAGCTAGTGCATTAGGTTGATCTGGAAGAGTGGACTATGACTGTTAAACCTGTACAGCATTGAAATCAACCTAAAAAAATTTTTTAAGGGACTTGGAGGTGGTCTGTGTTTAGACTATGTCTAGACTGGAGTTCGTGCATATCTGGTGTGTTTTTAGGACTGTTTTTTGGTGTCAGGAGGGATCTTAGGGTGTGTGTTGAGGCTGAATAGTGAACTGAACCATGTCCTCTGAGAATTCTGCAACTTCTGGTGTTTCTGGAGGTCAAAACAGCATGAGTGGGGGGCTGGATACGAACTTCCCCATGGCTGTAACACCCTTTGACAGACCAAATTACCTTGAATGGTCTAGGGGAATTGAACATGACAAGTGGAACCTAGAAAATAGTAAGGTAATGTCGTGGCTCTTGGTTTCTATGCTACTACAAGTAAGGAAGACATTCATATGGGCTGAAACAGCTTGTGAAATTTGGGAGCAAGCAAAATCTACATATTCAAAATAGAAGCACTATGTAAAGATATACCAACTGCAAGCTGAATCTTCCACTTGCAAGCAGGGGAAGAGAAGTCTCTCGATGTATACTCAGATTTAACACCAATATGGAAGGAACTGGATCATTATCAGAATGTGAATTGGAAATGTGATGAAGATGCAAAGGCCTACAAATCACTTGTCTCCCAACAGCGAGTATTTGCTTTTATTTTGGAGTTGAACCCTATCTATGAATCTATCAGGGTACAAATATCGGGAAGTAAGGACTTACCTTCGGGCTAGGAGGTTTATGCATTAGTTCAGTCTGAAGAAAGTAGAAGAAGTGTGATGAATTGTACAGAGGGGGAGCCAGTTGCATTGGTAGTCTAGGGAGGTACAGAGGGGGAGCCAATTGCATTGGTGCACCCACTGTCAGAAGTCCAGGCATACTAGAGACACATGTTGGGACCTCCATGGGAAGCCTAAGTGGGCTTAGGATTTAAGTAAGAAATCAACATCTGATCAGAGTAAGAAGCCAACTTAGTAGACTCAAAAGAAATATAACTCAACAAATGTGGCATCTCAGGAGACTAGTCCCATGATACCTTAGGAGCGGCCCCGTGGTTCTGATCATAAGGAAGAGACTATCAATTCTTTTCATGACCATTTGGACTTATATGGTATGACACTTCGCCAAATGGATTCTAGCCCTACTCTTACCTCTGCGTCATTAGGAAACTCTGCCACTGCTTTCCATGTGTCACCTCATACATTTGATTCCCCCTGGATTATTGACTCTAGAGCTTCAAATCACATGATTGGTAAGTCAAACTTATTTTAGGCATATAACCTCCTCTCTGGAAGAGATAAGGTGAGACTAGCCAATGGGTCATTCTCTACCATAGCCGGTCAAGGAACCATCTCCTTTCCTCTTGGTCTTTTCCTCTCTAATGTGTTACATGTTCCAAAATTGCCTATCAATTTACTTTTCATTAGTAGTATTACTCACTCTTTGAACTGTTTAGTAACTTTCTTTCGTTCTTCTTGTGTGTTTTAGGATTTGACCTTGGGGAGGACGATTGGTAGAAGAAGCATGGCGGATGGTCTCTACATGTTGGAGAATAAAGCCAGTCTTGTGGCTACAAAGTCTTTGAATTCGTCTTGTGAGACTCACACCTACTTATGGCATAGTCGTCTTGGTCATCGTTTTTTTAAGACATTAAAGCTTATGTTTCCAAAGTTATTTTAAGTATTTGTCAATTAAAGAGTTACAGTGTCGAACATGTCAATTGAGTAAACATTGTAGAAGTTCTTTTCCTTTAAGAAATAAAGATCTAAATTTCCTTTTCATATTATGTACTCAGATGTTTGGGGCCCTGTTACTCTACCTTCTAAAATTGGATATAAGTATTTCATTACTTTGATTGATGACTACTCTAGATATACTTGGATTTACCCTATGTGATCTAGAAATGAAGTGCCAAAGATTGTGAATAATTTTCAATGCATGATTTTTACTCTATTCCAGACTGAGATTCATATTTTCCAATCAGACAACGCAACGGATTACTTTCATAGTGATCTCACGAAGTTCTTCACTTCATGTGGATCTCTTCATCGGAGTTCTTGTGCTAAGACACCTCAACAAAACGGTGTTGTTGAAGGAAAAAATTGTTATCTTCTTGAAGTTGCTCATGGATTACTACTCCATATGCATGTTCCTAAACATTTTTTATGGAAGTCATTATGTGTGCTACATATATCACCAACTGTATACCATCTCGGTTGCTAGAGTATAAGGCCCCACATCAACTATTTTTTCCTAAGGCTCCTTTGTCCCCTATTCCAATCCATGTCTTTGAAAGGCATTGCTTTGTTCATGACTTGTCCCCTACTTGTGGTAGGCTTGATCCCCATGCTATCCCTTGTGTTTTTCTTGTTTACCCTTTATCTCAAAAGGGTTACCGATGCTATGATCCTGTTTCACACAAGTAAAGTGATGACAATGTATTCAGGCCCTTTAGGGGTAGGAGATTAATTAAAGGCTGAGTTGTTAGCGTTGTTACAAGGTTCAAAACTTGCTAAGCAAGCAAACCTACAAAACATGGAGGTCCAAGTGGACTCTAAATAGGTTATCTCTTGGACTACCACAAGGTGTAATGTTCCTTGGATTTATAGACATACCCTAAGGGAAGTAGAAAATTTGGCAAGGGAACCCAATGCCAACTTTTCTTGGATTAGAAGAACTACAAATGGAATGGTCGATGCATTAGCCAAGCAAGGGGTCTATAGGCAGTAGTTGTTTTGGACATTATTGTAGTCTTTTTTTGGGCTTTATTGATATCTTGTGATATATTGTAATCCTGAAACTTGTTTTCTCTCTTATTAATGAAGTTAATTTTAACCAATGTTATTAAAATGTGGAGGCATGACATGAGACATTCCACTACCTAGAGGGCGGACCTGCTCATGGGTCGGGCTTAGGCTTAGCTTTTGCCAAATTTTGAATGGGCCCAGACTGAAGTGTTCATGGATCGAGCCCAAAGCCCGGCCCATAAACAAGTCTACCTGGAGGCGTGAGGTTTAGCTCAGAACATAAGAGGTGTAAGCCTCCCAAGCACAAAGAGGCATAAGCCTCCTAAAGAGGAGGAGGAGGGAGGAAGAAGATGGAGGATGAGGAGGAAGAACTCATTTTTTTCCTTTTCTATGAAACATTGCCTAAAAAAAGCAAATTCAGTTTGGTTCATAAATCAACAAGAATCCCTTACAATTTTTCAAGTTGTTGCAGGCTACCCAAATTCTGTATTTCTCCAGTAAGAGATGTATTGTGCAAGTCCCTGAAGCAAATGTCCACAAGAAATTAAAAAGAAAAAGGGAAAAGGATGAATTTACTTTGAGGATGTACAACTTGTTTTGTACTAGTTTCTTTTTCAAACATCTTACAATGTTTTAAGGTCCAGTAGATCACCAAATGTGGGACTGATTGCTCTCAAGTCAATGCCAAAAATCTCCCTAGACAAAAAAAGAAACATAGTAAACTGATAATAAGACTAGAATTACTCTTACATATAAAAAGCAAGTAACTTTAGTACAATAAACTTACAATCAATGTTCTTGAAAGCATAGAGAAAGGTGAACCAAATTGAATCATGATCGTATAACAAATCATAACATTGTTTCTTTTTTTCTACAAAATTATCAAAAATTAAAAATAGATATTATTAAAAATTAAAATATAGATAGAAAAGTGGTTTTGCCCTACTTTTAATCCACATCTATGATCTACCACATATGTACCTAAAACAAGAGGCCTTACCACTTATACACTAGAAGCCTAGGATGATTTGATCAGGTTTCACTTGAAAGTCAAATGATCCACATAGAATGGCTCTTTTTTTTAGATTTTTTGTGTGCATCATGGGAGCTACATGAAGGTTTTAAAACAAGTCTCCCTTAACAGAACTAAATTAGAAACAAAGAAATGACAAAGTAGAGAACTAATTCTTAATTGAATTGATTTGAATTGCATGAATCATATAAATCATATGGTTTAACAATTAAACCATAGATTCAAATAAAAATCATAAGGTTTTTGTTGAAAAGGATTTAGGCATAAGATTCAAGTCTAAACCCTCTAGATTTTTTATTCGAATTGTTAATCTTAATGTAAATTGTAAGATTTTGATAACAATTCTTACAATGATGTAACCAAACTGCCTTCACATCCAATATGCTTCCATGGTGTTGGAGCACATGGATCATCTTGCCATCCGAGATCTAAGCCAGTGGACTGTTGGATAACCTGGAGTGCTGACACTGGATTGCATATAAATAGAGATTTAGTGAATCTAGCAATTCAAATGATCAGCATGAGTTATGTAGAAGGCAAAAGGAGAATAAAAGCTATTTTAAGGGCTTACATCACCTGTAGTTGAAGAAGCCTCCAAGGGAATGTCAACAATTTCATAGACCTCAATTGCATTCACTTGTGGATAGAAGCTGATATTCCGAAATGTCATATTCAAACTTTGAATGCCTTTAAATGAGAAAAATAACATACCAGCTTCTGAGTTTTTCACTGTGTAGTTATAACTAACAACATCTCCATTAACTAATATATCAAATGAGGGTGATACAGGCAGAATTCCAGCAAAATAGAGGATGATGTGATAATCTCCTAGCTTATCAAGAGGGAAATTGTAAGTAAGAATGTTCTTTCGTGCCAAAACCCTTGCTGATTGAAGAACACTAAGAGGTGGACTCTCCTTAATGCCTAATAGATTGAAGGGAAGTTGAATATTGAATCCAGTTGACAAATGAGAAGGAGAGAAGTTTAGATCAGCATCCCATATACGATCATAAGGATCAACTGGGTACCTGGTTTTACAAATATGAATTGCAAAGTCTCATAAACCTTGCATAAATTCAAGTAAAGAAAATAAATGGTTTCTTACCGAGTGGATGTGTTGTTCCCACAATTGACTCTGTAATGCTTCCTTAGCGACTTATTTGTGAGATTTCCCATGCCACTTCTGTAAGCTCCATCAGGAAGTGGGCGGACTTCAAGTGAAGAAATAACAGGAACTCCACCATCCAGAATAGAGAGGAAACAGAATGGAACGGTGTCCTTGGTAACAGGCCATATAAACTCTTCTACCCAGGGATCAGAATTAGTAAGGTTAACAGTTGTAATGGTAGCAGTCCCTAGAGAAACCTGGAAGGCTGGAGGCTTCCCCAATCCATCATAGTTTTTGTAGAAAAACTGGGGCCTGATAAGAACTACAGATGAAATATTCTTCACAGGCAGCTTATAACACTTGCGCCCTTCTTGAGAATCCAGGAAGAACCGTAATGGAACTCTGGAGGTTGAACTACCTTCAATGAAATTCACTGTTGTTCCATTGCCTGTGCTCACATAATCATCATCCGGGACCCATGAAATGTTAGAAGAGTCAACAAAGCTTGTACTTCCACCGCAAGATAGACTCAAGAAGCCTGATTGGTACGACAGTAAGAAGCATTAATAGAGGAAAATAAAAGTCAAAATTTCAGTTAAAGTGATAATTGCTCCAAAAAAAAAGACAATATAAGGTGCATCAATGGTGATCAAGATGAACTGAAAGTAATATCAAAAGATTAAACAGAAATGTGGATAAAAATCTTCAGGTAATGAAACAAACAGATTAAACACCAGCATCTATACAGATAGCTTATGATGTAAATACACTAGAAAGAAGAAAAAAATCAAATCCTTCTTCAATTTCAAAATCCTATTTAAACGCAACCCAAATAAAATCAAATTTTCTTATAACAACAAATTTACTTGCTTCTTTTCAACAGAAAACAAAATTCTATTTCACATTTTCACCAAACCTATAACTCAATAAAATGCATACCTTCTTGGTCGCCAAGAACAGATCCACTGAACCCATAAATCAGAAGAAACCCAAGACAAGACCAACGCAAATCCATCTGTCTCGCCTCACTTGAGCTCCAGCAAACCGAAAGCTTCCTCCTACATTCCACAAACCAAAGACCAATTCACAGCTTCTGGGCCATTGTTATGAACTTTGAACTGATTCAGAACAAAAGAAACCACAAGGTAAACCACTTGAAATTGAACAAAGAACGCGGTAAAACCACTAAAACAGACAGAGACATAGGAGGAGAGTAGTGTCTCACTATGCTGTCTCTCAACCGAAAGGAGTAATGAGTGAAGAGGTCGTTATTGTGGCGGTGATGGAGGAGGCGATGATGATGAAGCGTGTTGAGTGGTAATGATTGCAGATGATGATGCCAGAGGGATGATAGTCTGGTTCCACTGTAGCAGTAGCTGTTGCCGAAAAGCAGGAGTGGATGAGGGAGAAGAACTTGAACGTCCTCCATTGACTCCGACAACGACGAGATGAGACCCAGTCTCTGGCGATCTTGCTTTTTTTAAATTTTTAAACCTCGGTCGGTCGGTTGGACCTTGAAACGTTTGAAAATGGTGGATTTGCATACGACAGCCACCCCGCGGGAAATTATTTGTACGGAAGATCTTTCTGGACGGCTTGTTCTGAATGAGATTTCCTGCAGGGAGAGTCCGAGACCGGGAACACATTAGGGGTAATCCAAGATTCCAGATTGTTCATGGGATATCGGATTCGGACATGGTTAATGGGACCAGTTCTTTGTCATAAGGATGTCGGCGGGTTGGGTCAGCCTTAATCCGGGTTATATTCGGGTTTGGCACTTTGGCTTGAGCTGTGATGAAGTGTAAACCGTGGCGAACCCGATCAGTTGCCGTAAGGGCATCAAAACATTCCTAAAATGTCAGTGGGTCGGGTCAGCCTAAAGAGATCGCTGGTTCACTGCAAATGGATCAGGAGATCGGTTTCTATCAGCGCAAATCGATGCTCACACCATTCTAACATTTTTTGCAACTTTGTATTGATTCCATGAAATAAAAACCATAAGGTACAGACAGAGATATTCAAAACTGCCCGAATGGGCTTTGCCCTGACTGAAGCCAAACTCTCAATACACATGGTCCACAACCAATCAGTCTCTCATTTAGCATTTATCACTGGCTACCAAATTAGTGTTTGAATATGCTAATCTTATGGGACAGGGTGGATGCTGATTAGAGTAGCTTTGGGTTGCAATCTGGGCCTCAAGCTTTGATGTAAGAAATTGAGTTAGGAATCTTATTCCATTCCTTGTTGGGTTAAGTCAAACTAAATTCATTGCAAACATCGTTTTTGTGACGTATTGTTTGATAAAGTTGTGTCAATTTTCATTAATAATTTTTATTAAATTGTCAATTTTTATTTTTAATAGTGTTTATTAAAGTAGTTGATTTATACAATATTATATACAAATCTATTTTATAAAATACATAATACAAAATATTATATATAATATGTAGAATAGGTGTTATATTATAATATTTATATAAAATATAAAAAATAATAATACATCATACACATTATCTATTGGAGGGTGGGGTTAGGGCTGAGGTCTATGTAATTTAGACAAATGACAACCCATCCTATCCTCAATCATCTATTGAAAAAAAAAAAAAAAAAAAATCACCCTATGGGATGAATCAGAGCCCCAATAAGGGCGGGTTATTATAGAAAAATACAATTAAAAAGATGAAAGTCTCGTTTGGTATTGGGTTGAACCCCTATAGGGTGGGGCTGGGTTCAAGTAGAGGCAATGAAGGGTTGGGTTAAGGTGAAGGCAAACCCGTATTAAACCCAGGTTGTTGTATTTATTTTTCATTATTTTTAAAAAATGAATTTAAATTAATTTTAAATAATAATTTTTACTTTATTACATTTTAATTTATTTAATAAATTGTTATTAATGTGTAATTTAAGCTATGATATTAGGCTAAATTTATTACTGTTTAAAATTTTTAATAATGCTAGAATTTGTTATAATAAATTAAGTATAATGTTGTTGTAAATAATTTAACAATTATTATTGTTAAAATTCAAAAACAGTCATTTATTTTGAATTTTTTATCATGTTAATCATTTTTAAATGAAAATTCAATGAATAATTTTATGAATTACTAACATTAGTTAACTAACTAATTAATTTTGCAAACTATTATTATTAGTTGAGTTTAACACTAATACAGCTATAGGTAATGTCAACGCATGGGACCCATATTGTATATTATACCCCTAAATAGTTTAAGTTGTCTCTCTTTAATTGACCCATGTAAATAAATAGGGAGTAATTAAGGCTTAAGAGAGTATTTAAAAAAAAAAAAAAACATGGGTTAGTTAGAGAGAGAGGGAGAGAATTGGAAATTTTAGGAGAGGTTTTTCAGAGAGAGTTTAGGAGTGGCTTTAGGAGAAATAGATGTTTTAGAAAGATTTTTAATCAGGTAATTGAGAAGTGAGGATCAATAGGAAGAAGGAGAGCCTTGCTAATGTAGTTTAATGAGAGGGCTTGAAAGGGTTAATGGAGAAAGGAGAGAGAGTCTCAAGAAGCAAGAAAGGGAAGGGAGAAAGGAGAAGCATGTTGACGTGAACTACTTTACTTTATATATAGAGTACTAGTTAGTGGAGACAAATTAATGTGATGTGTGAGCTTTGTTAAAACAATTTGAGACAAAAGAAACTAGGGGGTACGTGCAACTTGGGTGGGGTCTAGGGATGGCAATTTCCCCCGTAAAATCGGGGGCCCGCCTCGAACAGGGCGGGTTTTCCTCGATCCTAAACAAGGAAAGGGTGGGGACGGGGAAAAAATATTTTTCCTGAACAGGGGACGGGCCGGGGACAGGTTTTATATATAATTCCCCGAACCCGAAGGTAAATTAGTAAAATATCTCTAGGTTTAATATTGATATTTAAAATATCTCTAAGTTTTCCCTAAATTCTTAAAATCCTAGGATCCCATAATTTTATTTTTGAATTACCCCTAAAGTATTATAATTCAATTCCTAAAATACCCCCAAATTCATATATCCTATGTATAAATTGTTCATAAAATAGATAATTTTTAAATAATTGCTTTGAAGCGGGGAAATTTGGGGATTCCCCGTCCCCGATGGGGAATAGATGCCTCGCCCCGAACCTGCCCCACCATCGGGGACGGGGCAGGTACAGGGCAAAATATTTTGACTTCGGGGCGGGGACGAGGAGGGGGTGCCCCGCCCCATTGCCATTCCTAGTGAGATCAACCTAAGCCCAACCTAGCTCAACCAAAGCTTTTACACAAGTTGGGCTTGAGTTTTTAAACTTCAAGTTGAGCTTAGGCCAAAAACTTAAGCCTAACCCAAACTTATGATATACATATCTATATATTATCAAGCTATTCTACCTGGAAATGGAGGTACAAAACTTAATGCACCCAAGACCAAGACTAGCCCGAGATGTTGGGTTAAGCTTAGGTTGAGCATGGGTTGGTAAACTCAGGCTTAACCTTGAACCGGACCAAGCTTGATCTCAAGGTTTGAGACCTAGGTTTGGGATTGGGTTAACTCTCAACTCGACCCAACCCACCCAAGTTGCACCCAAGAAGGAGCATTATAACATTCCTAGTTGTATTAGTTTTTATTTTTTTATTAAATTGTTTTAACTTTTACTAAATTGTTATTTAGTATTAATTTTTGTTATTTTTAAATGGATAAAGGGATTTTAAATTAATAATAATTATGTTTAAAACTAATAGTTTTGTTAATTTTTAATGTTATCAACAAATTTATAGTATCATTTTATTTTTTTAGATGAAATTTAAATGGATATCAAATTATAAGATTTAAGTTTGAAACTAAGTTTTTCTTACTTTTTTGTTGTTCTATTAAAAAACATGTATTAATTTGTATTAACTTTATTTTTAGATAAAAACTTGTATTAATAAAAAATTATTAAAATAATTTTATTGATTCACATTATTTTTTATCTATAATTTTTATTACATCTTATATACATATATCTATATATCTATATATATATTAATAGGATAGGGGTGCTCTCTCCATGCAGGAAATGGAATCTACTCATGCAAGTAGATTCCCACGTGAGAGCAACCCAGTAATTACAGCCATATAAATAATTATTAATACAAGTTTTTATCTAAAAATAACAGTAATTAGTGATTATTACAGTAATTAATTACTGTAATTTAATAATTACTGATTATTACTGTTATTATAAATTACAGTAATTTAATAATTATTGATTGTTACAGTAATTTAATAAATATATAATTAGTCATTAGAATTAATAATTATTGTTATTATAAATATTGTTAATAACTACATATTTACTTTAAAATTATAAATACTGTTATTAAAAAATACTGTTAATAAATTACTGATTATTATGGTAATTTAATAAATATATAATTAGTGATTATAATTAATAATTATGGTTGTTATAAATAGTGTTAATAAATAGATATTTACTTTAATTTTATGTTAAATTAAATTTATAAACATTGTTATTAATAAATACTGTTAATAAATTCAGTAATTATTGTTATATTAAAAATAATTAAAAATATTATTAAATGTATTTTTATTGATTATTTAATAAAATATTATAATTATTGACTATTATTGATAAATACTGTTAATTTAATTTAATTTTGGTAATTATTAATTTAATGAATATTGTTAATAAATCCTATTCATAAATTTAATATTTACTGTTATATTAAAAATAACTAAATAATATTATTAAAACTACCATTGATGATTATTTAATTAAATAGTATAATTACTTATTATTATTGATAAATGTTCTTAATAACGTTTTGACAACCAACGGTTCGACCATCCAATTCGAACGGATGGCCCGTTCTGAAAACAAAAATTACAAGTAAAAAATTGCGGAACCGTTCTGGTCACCGGTTTTCAAGTTGATGGTTCAATCATCCAGTTTGAACGGACRCTCCATTCTGACAACAAAAATTATATGCAAAAAATTGAGTTTGTGAGCTCCATTAAGTAGTATCATACGTGTTATGTCATTCGAGCGTGTGACTCATACGGCCCAAAAACCAAACCGTTCTAGCCACCGGTTTTTGGGTTGACGGTTCGACCATTCGGTTCGAACGGATGGCCCATTATGACCACAAAAAATTACGGAACCGTTCTAGCCACCGGTTTTCGGGTCGACGGTTCGATCGTCTGGTTCGAATGAATGACCCATTTTGACAACAAAAATTGGAGGCAAAATTTGAGTGTGTGAGGTCCATTAAGCAGTATCATATGTGTTATGTCATTTGAGCATGTGACTCATACTACTCGAAAATTGAACTGTTTTGGCCACCGGTTTTCAGGTTGATGGTTCGATCATCCGGTTCGAACGGGCGGACCGTTCTGATAGCAAAAATTAAATAAAAATAAAAAGGCCAAAAACCATTGAACGGGTCAACGAGTTAACGGTTCGACCCATTTTGACAATGGTTTGTGGCCAGGGACCGGGATTGGGGTAAAACAGAACTGGTTGTCTAGATGGTTCCCAATTAAAAAAATAAAAAAATGGATGACCCATTTTGACAAAAAAAATACA